CGTTTTCTCACACAAACCGCTCGTTTCGTGTCTTAGGCCATCAATGTGTACTTACATTTACGAGTCATTAAATCATGTTTAATTTGGACTTCTCTATGCATGCTCTTTGAGGTGGTGACCATAGACCTCCATTATATGACTGACAGACAAGAACGGTTTGACCTAAAAAATATCAAAACTGAAACAACTGCGGAAACAAAGACGCCTACATCTTGGATGCCCTTGAGGTAAGCTAAAACAAATTAATTTCAAAGTGAACTATCTCAACGTATATTTATGTAATTTGGCACTTTTATCCAAAGCCATTTGGGAAAAATTTGAGAAGAGAGAGACCAGAGTGATGTAAAAGATATGAAAGTGACACAAATACAGTTATTTCAGAGAGCTGTATAATGATAAGTTTGTATAAATGTTATGAACATGAATAGTCCCTTTTTGAAGAGTAATCTTTGCAATATCCTACTTAACACATTTACTCAGACCCCAAATTGAGTTTTATTAATTTCAGAATTAAAAGAAATACACCTCTGGATTAACCTCATATAAACTTGTATTTGCCATAATTTCTATCCACATAAACATTTCAGGTTTTGAGATTTATATACATTTGAGATATATCTAATGACAAAAAAGAAATTTATACATTTCTTTATTATTTCTTTAAATTTATAAAAAAAACTAATCATTAATTTATAAATTAATTAGGCACCCCTTTAGCAAGAATTCTGCATTTGTTAGGCTACTCATTTTAGCAAGTTACTGAAAGCAACCCTGTGTATGAGCAGGTTAAAGGTCAACCGCTTGCCATTAGAGCTGAGCTGAATGTGCAACTCCACATTTGATAATATCTCCATCTAGTGGTTATTTCCTTTTCACAATGAGTCAACTGGATAAACCTGATTTAGCTCGCATCCAGTGTCTACCTGTTCAAAACTTTGTTCTCTTTTTAGGTTATATAACATTTGTGTAAAATGTTAGACAAAATGTACTACAAAAATGTAGTAAATTGTAAATTGTAAATCATTGCAGCATCCATTTAAAAATAATTTTACAAAGAAGCTTTGGCACAGTGAGACATGATACATGGTTAGTGATTAATAAGATTAAAAGGAATTGGGAAATGCGACGTGCATTACGAATTCATCTACTTATAATGCAGTAAGCTTTACATTCTCCTGGATATGAGAGACTTTTCAGGGTAATTTAATAAGCTGAACATTTCATTTCATTGTAATCCATGTAATCCATAAAATTGTTCTGGCTTTGTGCTTTCAAAGATTCACATATATGTATAATTATTACTCATTTAAAAAAAAAAAATACAAAATCAAAAAATAGAGTGCAACCTTTTCATTTGTGCATGCATATATACAGTATATATATATATATATATATATACTTACACAGTGGACCTGAATGAATCTGACACTACCAGTCAAATTAGTATTCATATCTACTCATTATTTATGACTATTTCATATCATTTAGATGAACAGTAAAGCCACTATAGCAAATTATGTAGTGACCATAATGTATAAAAATTAAATAAAACCCCCCCAAAACTTTCCGATAACACGTTAGTTTATGCTCCAATTCTCACTATGAACTGCAAATTATTATAAGCATGCAAATTACTTGGATATTAACTGTTTATTAGTATTTATAAAGCACATATTAATGCCTTATTCTGAATGACAATACTCTACATCCCTTAATCCATCCAATACCTAAACTTAAAACTATTTTTGATCATTTAAGCAAAAGCCTTCAGATCAAAAAGTTAAGATGATGAGAAATGGTTTCAAGTGTCAAGTATCTAATGTTTTGACTGGCACTGTATTCACAGTGTCTTTCTTCAAATAAAGTGTTTGAGAACAGTTTAAAAGTCAAGTGCCCTTAAACATCTTTATAGCAGCGGCTTTATACTAACTGACAGATAAAAAAACATTAATTTGTGCTATTTTCAAACATTGAAAATGTATCTTTAGGGAATTTTACTATAAGAAAGGCTTGCTTCTAGAACAATTCAGATGTGTGGAAGATGCACAGAGCTGGAAATGGCATCATTATTAGTTAATAGTGGCATTGGCAAATTATTTAAAATGAAATTTTTGTCATCTATTCAGCCTCAATTTGTTCCAAACCTGTATGAATTTCTTTCTTCTGTTGAACACAAAAGAAGATATTTTGAAGAATGTTAGTGTCACAAGATGAAGAAGATGAGGATGAAGGAGAGTCCAAAAAGAGTTCAATAAACAAAACAGGCCTTTTAATGACAACAAACTCAGGTAATCCACAAGGATAAAGGCAAAGTGAGAAACTAAAAGTCCATGAAAATAAAAAAAATAAAAAAATAAAAGATAACAGTGTTCATGACAGTTGGTAAACAGACAGTTGATGGGCCACATTGAATTCAATAGATTGGTAACAAATTCTATGGAAGTCAATGGGTGCCGTCAACAATCTGGTTTCCAACACACTTCAACAGAAGAAAGAAACTCACACAGGTTTGGAACAACTTGAGGGCGAGTAGGTTAAATGATTGAATTTTCATTTTGGGGTGAACTATCCCTTTAAGCTTTATGTACAGTCTCTGTGGAATGTTGAAAGTTAGTGCATTATTTTATTATTTTCTGTGGTAATGAATAGCACACAAAATATGCCCTTCATAGAGTTAAGCTGTTATTAAATATTCCATTAAAGACAATATCTTAAGTGCAGCTAAAAGTCAAGTCAGATTCTCTTGGTGACAAACCTCTGCAAGTCATTGACAACATGCCAGTGCAAATGCTGTGAGGCATCAGATGGAGTTGACACACACTCATTGTTTCTGAGACGCCCAGACAATCAAACCAATAATGACAGCCACCACAACCAGAATAGCGATGAAGATGAAGATCTTCTTGCGGAATGACGTCTACAGGGAGCAGAAGAAATGAGTCACTAGTGTAATAGTCATAATAATGGTTGTAAAAGTTGGTTGCGACAACTAAAAAAACAGTACATTTAATTTATTACAGTAATTTATTTTTAAAATATTTAATTAAATTGTAATTTAATTAAAATATATTAATGCAATATACCTGAGCTGCAATATACAATAAAAAAGTGTAGGACGTACAAGAACTCAAAACACATTGGCCCTCATTTATCAAAAGTGCGTACACCACATTTCCAGCGTACACCTTGCGTACACTCAAAACCACGGTGAGTTTGAGATTTATCAATATGGACGTTGGCGTACGGCACGCTCGAATCCTACACCAGCTCAGGGGGTGGTGTACGCACGTTTTGAGTTAGTGAGGAAATGCGCAGAAAAATTCCTAACACCACAAAACGCACTGAGAAACTAAAAGATATGATATATTATGACCCACTGTAAAACAAACAAACAAAAAAACAACATAGAAATTATAAACTTCAGTATTTATTTTTGTGTACCGTGGACTTCAATGTTTAATTTGTGAGACTTTACCAAAGCATTTGATTTGTAAGCATATATTCCTTCAGTTGCGAGCCCACTTTACCCTGACGTTTCAGGACTATCCCCGGCAGGTGCGCACGGACTGGGTTCGGTAGCCTAATGAAAGGCTTTCAATGACCAAAAAATAATTCAGACTGACAAAATAATAAAAAATACATTCTTCTTCTTTTAAATGATGATAATAATAGAAATAATAATGACGACATCCTTCTTCTAAATAACAATAAGCATCATTAATGCAAATCATAATAATAAGAAGAATACTATTACAAATTGTCATGCAATTATTAATGTGAATGAATGGTACTTCACATCACATCATCATCATCACTATTATACATGTGACGTGATTCGAAATTGAATGCTAATTTCAAAAGACGTGCTGTAAAATAATGCACTGTGATAGGTCATTTCGGCTCCACGTCGGAGAAGTTTCTCTTCTTTGCCGTCTTCCGTGTGTCCATGGCGTAAAATGAGGGCGTGGGGGGGAGCGGACACTTGAATATTTAGGGGCGTGTTATTCTAATGACGATCGTTTTCGGCCGCGGGATTTATCAAGGGCAGGCATTGCGTACACCTGGATTTCAAAGGTACGCACATCTTCATAAATCAGGCGGTGAGAGGAGTGTAAGTATAATCTTACACCAAAATATACACCCGTTTCTACGCAAGATTGATAAATGAGGGCCAATGAGTGCAAGGGAAGCTTTCCAGCAAATTCCAACTTAAATTTGCATTTGTTTCTCAAACAAAGCTATTGTATGACTTGGAAGCTGTTGTCTGCAAAAGTCATCTAGGCTATTTTCATGGTGCATTTTTGTGCTTTTTGGTGCTTGACAGTGTCCATCTACTTTCATTTGGATACATTTCTCCTTTTGTGCTCCACAGAGGAAATAAAGAGTAAATGATGTACCTGGTAACTTGCTGCTCTATTCAGATTTTGTGTTGCTGACTGCACATGGACCTCTGCTGTTGATACATTGGCCTCTATACTGTCTGCACGAGACGAGAAGGAGAAAAAACATCTCAGGGTTAAACACAGAATTCATTTCTTTCCTACAGTGAAACTGATTAAATATTCTGACTCCGTTATTTGCATCAAAAAATGATTATTCTCCATTTAAAACAAAAATGTTGTGTAAGGATAATGCACAGTCCCTCAGAAGTTCAAAATCCCTTAGTGAGCAACATTTCATCATTCAGTTATGCATCTAAAAGTTTTGGTGGGTAGCACAAACAATGATGCAAACTGTAGTAAATTGGATGAAATATCACATGTAAACAACACCAATAGGTGCTTGCTAATAGCTCAGGTCATTAAAAGTTTAGTGCTTGAACAAACAGTCCCACTGAGCTGGTGTGTGTGAAGCCTCGCAGGTCTTCATTATCAACGTCTGCTTTTCCCTTTAACACCTTTAATTGCACTTTCCTGTCTAAGAGTTTCATCACCAAAAACACTCCCCCTCAGAGACAAGTCTAAACAAAAACACAACAGATCCTTTAATATAATTATTAAACAAGTTTTATATTTATTTATAATATATATATGCCTGGATCTGCTCTGTGTTCGATGTAATTATCCAGGAAAAAAAGCTCAAATATTGTTATAAAAAGACAATTTACTAAGCATCCAGTCAATAGACACATGCAGTAAAGATCTAGAAAATAACACTAACCCTGACAGAAGGAGAGATTTATTTAATGTCCACAAGATTGTGGCTCATTAGTCACAGGACAGCCTACATGTGTTTACTTTTCAACAATTAAAGTTCATCAGCACATTAAAGCAATTGGAGAGACCCAAGTTGTCTAAACATCAGTGTTCAGTTTGTTTAGTGAATGCTTTCTTCCCAGTGTCGGCCCTAGACTTCTGAAGGCCCTAAGCAAAACTGTGAGAGAGTGAGAAATGAGAAATGACCCCCATCTGTTTAATCTGTTCTTTAGAGCGGTTTTACTGTCAACCAATAACAGTGAGTTGAAAGCCGCCAGGGCAAAAGCGTCTCGTTTGCAACTTTTTTTAGCATCATGCATGTCCGACAGGAGTCATGGCAGTGAGGTTACATGATATATGAAGGATATAGGAAAGGCACTGCACAATGCTTTTTCATAATTGTTGGAAACTTCTTTAAATCTCACAGCCATAGTCTTAATATTAGATTTAAACTATTACTTCTTTTTGAGAGCAAGGGGGCCATACCCAACTTGCTTACTTTGCGTATAGGGAGGACCGGTGTTCTGTCGATTTTTGCTGCCTTGTCGAAAAATGCTACCGTAGCGCGAATTGATCACAGAATGCCGATTAAAGTCGTATGAAATACAATTATAATACAATTCTAAGTTATGAGTAGCTACTGTATACTGTAGACTACTGTTTTTATTTTTAAAACGGTGTGAAAAGTAAAAATTATCATAAAATATTCATCTTTGACTTGTCAAAGTACACCTTTCCTCATAGTAACTGAAACTTTCAGTTATTCTTCTTCAGCTGGCTGACCGTACAAATATTCATATGGTAGTAAGCATTTTTTAAAGGGAAATTATACATTATAACAGGAAAATGTACCTTTTGTAAAAAAAAAAAAAACTGCGAGTCTGCACATGGGTAGCATTAATTTTCAGAACACCGGCACTGTCTTCCAAACTCAAGTGTCCACATGGCAACTTTTGAAACAGTTTATTTGGACTCACTATTATGAATGCAATGAATGTAGGCCTAATATATATATTTGAGTGTCAACTAATTTGAGCAGGGTCAGCAACCATTTAGCATTGCTCTGGCAACCTTCATGTGGGAAGAGTTTTTTCGTGGTTGCCACTCAGTTTTGAAACAGTGTAAAAAACTAGTTATATCTCTCTTGAGATCTTACCAATCATGTCTCCCTGTTCATGCACCATCATCCCCAGATCTCTGAAGATGTCATTAATATTTGTAATGTCCGACTGAAAAACAAGAGAGTGTGTTTTACACATGCCTAAACTATTCAAATTGTATTACATTAGCAACATGCTTGTCACTTGTAAGATTAGTAGTTCTTTGAATGAGTCTGACCTCCAGCTGTCTGATCGCTGATTCTCTCTCCTGAATGAGCTGCAGATCTTCTTCTGTGAAGTTCTCCTCATAGCTCTGAGTTTGAGCCTGAATCTCAAAACTAAAAACACACAGAGAACACTTGAAGACATACATTGAAGTTTTTTTTTTGTTTTTTTTTTGCATAAATGTGACAGGACAGCAGAGATGCATTTAAAGTTCCCCTATTATGCCATTTTAAAGGTTCTTTATTTTGTTTGGTTCAACTACAATAGGTTTACATGCATCCGCTCCAAGGTCAAAAGGTCAAGGTCATCACTTTAATTTTCTCATAATATACATTGCAACATCTCTTCTTTTCTCAGTGTCTGAAACGGTTCGATAAAGGATTATGTCTCTCCAAACCCCTCTTTTCCGACAACCTGCTCTACTCTGATTGGTCAGATGGCTCAGTCTGTTGTGATTGGTCGACTGCTTACAGCGCTTGTTGAAAACGAAACGACCATTACCATATCTGAATTTCAACTTCCTCAGAACTTGTAAACACAATGTTAAAGGGTTAGTTCAACCAAAAATTTTAATTACCCATGATTTACTCACCCTCAAGTCATTCTAGGTGTCTTCTTTCAGACGAATACAATCAGAGTTTCGAATATGGATTTTTTTTTTTTTTACACTAACACAACGATTCACTTCAGAAGGCCTTTATTAACCCCCACAGAGCCGTATGGATACTTTTATGATGGACGGATGCACTTTGATGGACTTCAAAACAGAAACAGCCATTCACTGCCATTATAAAGCTTGAAAGAGCCAGGACATTTAATATAACTCCGATTGTTTTTGTCTTGACGGTGAGTAAATCATGGGGTAATTTTTATTTTTGGGTGAACTAACCATTTAAGGACAGTAAATTAGCTTTCACAGCGCAGAAAACAGCGTCTTCTCGAGATGTTGTCAACAAGAACCAAATTCTTCTAGGCCTCAGCTACAACTACAGCGTTTGAGGGCAAGTCAAAGTAAACGTTCGCGGGCAGCAAATGAAGACCATAGGCTGGCATTACGGAAATTTGTTACAAACCTAATTTGGTTTGTGCAGGGAGACTGGAATTACTCAGTTCTTCCTTTTGGGAGATGATAACTCCATTTAGTATGCATTTTGATCTTTGAAACTTTGCAGACTTTTTACACTAACAAACAGACCACTAAATCAGAGGCTAAATCAACTCCTATTCCTGGAGACCTACCGACCTGCAGAGTTCATATCAACCCTGCTCCAACACACCTGTCTTTAATTATAAGTGCTCCTGAAGATCTTACTTTGCTGTTTCTGTTATGTTTGATCAGGGTTGGAGCTGAACTTAGCAGGAAGGTAGATCTCCATGAACAGGATTGGACACCCCTGCATTACATTAAAAGGTAATATCCCAAAAGCATAACAGGGGCATCTTAAAGTCAGTGTCTAACCTTTTAAAGGGTGACGCAATTCCTCCGAAGCCATCATTTGGATCACCAGCCTGTAGGCAGAAAGAGAATTCTTAGAGAAATCTGCAACATGCCAATAATACGCCACCTTTTATTACTCAGAAAAAACATCATCATACATCATCATGCAACTAAATTGATTCAATTGGATGCATCCTAATCTCAGACATCACGTCCATAGACCGTTAGCTAAAGCACACAAAATGGGAAACACTTCGGAAGTTTTTAAGTCGTCATCTGATTGGTTGAATTAGACATGCGGCGCATTCTTTAACAAACTGTGATTGGTTGCTTTACATGTCAGGTGGCCTCTTGGGCGGTCCTTGGCCAATAAAAGCTGCGATGCAGTCCAGACCTTTTGCTGTCAGTCTATGCAAGACTAAATGCATCCTGACTGGATTTAAGTAGTGTGTATAACTATCACAGAAATGGACTATAGAAACTGACATTTACACTTTAGAACGACCTTTACACACTTTAACCCTAATCAAACACACCTGAACAAGCTAATCAAGCTCTTCAGGATTACTAGAAAGTTACAGGCAGGGGATTTTTTTTTTTAGAGTTGGAGCTAAACTCTGTAGGCCATCCCTGTGTTAGATATTTGTGTCTGTATAAATCAACAAAGCATTTTACCTTCAATTGGGTGGATAGTATCAATTTATTAATGTAATTCCTTCATTACAATTGATAGATGAAACTTACTGAAACTCTTGAGCTCGCACGGACACGTTCCACAAACTCCTTCTCTTTCTTTGCAACCTCACGCTGAACTTTCTGTAAAACACCCAGTGCGTTGGAGAATTCAGTGATGAGACGCTCTCGCTGGATTTTTCTTTGCCGCTGTGTAAGAAGAGAGGAATGTCACATTTGAACTACTGTATACTGGTATAGGTATAGTTCACCCAAAAATTAAATGGTAATCAAAGCCATTTAGTTATCAGCATTCTTCAAAATATATTATTTTGTGTTCCACAGAATAAATAAAGTCATACAGGTTTGGAACAACATGAGGGTAAATAAATGATGACAGAATTTTCAATTTTGGGGTGTACTGTCCCTTTAAGTTAATACAGTCATATGTCAATGTTTAAGCCCTATCCTAACACTGAATATTTGTATTTCTTTACTTATCAATTAAATAACTTTTTTTTAAAAATAACTTATATTATTAACAATTTTGTTTGTAAATGTTTATGATGATGTGGTGTTAATTATCCAGTCAATGAGCTTAATTGGTTACTAATGGATCTTTACGTTGATTGGTCATGTGATTATTTTACAGTTGATAGTTTGAATAGTTGTATATGCCTGATGAAGGTTGTGAGACCGAAACGTAGCTAATAAAATTTTGATACTCATTTGCAACCCCACACACCTATCACCTGCAGGTGTGCAATGGTGTTTGCTAATTGATTTACTTCGAATTGAATTGAATGTTCGACCATATACAAATTCTACAATACAAAAGTCTATTTAAAGGTGCAATATGTGATATTTCTGAGGATCGATTGACAGAAATGCAATGTAAGATCTATAACCAGTGGTGTATAAAGACCTTACTCAATGAACTGTTGTGTTTTTATTACCTTACTGTGCGTTCACACCGGACGTGAATAGCGCGTCAAATTCGCGTCTAGGTTGACGCTTGACCACTTTGTGTTAATTCACGCGTCTTTTTTTGAGTGATATGTCATATTGCATTTAGTCATATTACAAAATAATTTATTGAAGCGTCCAGATACTTCACCACGTGAGCAAGCAGCAGGCTCCTGATTGGTTAACGCGGCGCAAATTTGACGCCAAAGTCAAGATTTTTCAACTTGGGCGGCAGGCGCGAATTCGTGTCAAACATGTGAATGCACAAATAGCACTAACTAAATCATTCGCGTGATTGACGCACGAATGAGGTGTATTCGCGTCTGCCGCGCTCTACGCCTCATTCACACCGCAAGAATTGTTTCCGCGCGTAACGCGTCTTTGCATTGACTTGAAATCATTCGTGCCTGACGCGCTATTCGCGTCCGTGTGAACGCACCATTAGAATGAGACATTTATATATACATAACCTCGGGCACTCCCTTCTATGAAGGTTGACATATTGTGATGTCATGTTTCTACCGTAGCCGACAGCGAACACACAGCGCTACAGAGTGCGTTTCGTCACTACCTTGAAAGAGAAGCCGAAGAAAGCTGGAAGCTAGCCATAAACACAGTGAGTAGTGACTTTTCCCTTGTCAGTGGTGTAAAATATGTAGTTGGATTGTTTCATGTAACTTAGTTCTTCTCCCTCGCTGTGTTATGGCTTTGACATTGACAATCAGCTGATTAGTACTATTGACTGTTAAAGAGTAACGTTACAGGAGTCACCAACACGTCAAGTCGATCTTGGAAGCATTTTATGTCGATCGCGAATTGTTTTTATAAATAATGCTTTACGCTTTTACCAGCTCAACCACAGCCCTACAGCATAACAGCTCATATTAGCCAGTTAAACTTTTACTATCCTGTTAGAAAAAATATGTAGTCTGATAGTTTCATGTGGTTCTTCTCCCTCGCTATATTGTGGGGAGAAATGTGCTGGTTTTGTGAGACAATCAGCTGATTACTATTATTATATTATATATTAAGACCCTTGATCCTCACCTGACTATGGCTTTGTAAACTTTATCCATGATGTGGTTTATAATGGACTGTGGTTCAGAAACAGTGACAATGTTACACACTCTTGGCTTACTCTGGCTATTCTCTGCTGTCTCAGACGGCGATATGTTTGTAACCAAACCGCTAGATGCCGCTAAAATCTACACACTGCACCTTTAAGTGCTTTCATAGAAATTATTGTATGTATATGTGGTGAATATGAGGCACTACAGTTAATATAACAGTTGATTTCTGTACCTGTTCTGGGGTCACAGGTAAAGCGCTGAAATCTTTCATGTATTTATCGGTCACTTTAGCAAGATGATTGACATTCTGCTGTTTCTCCTGTCTGTATGTTTTGACAAATAAAAACAAATTTATTTGCATTTACATATAAAACTGTTTTATTTATTTTATGCTCGTGATCAATTTAAGGGAAGGAAACTGGCTTCTTGTATTCGACTCACAATGTTTGTCGCAGGATAGTCGTGTCTTGTGCTGTTCCAAAATGTCTCATCATCTGCTGGATTTCATTAGCTGGTAAAAAAAGGCAAGACCTGAAACCACTTTTACGCACACCTCCCATGCTTTTGGGTTATGTAAAAGTGTGTATTATGGTTTTTCATAACCATCCATTTATTATTGATTCCTCTATACTTGATTTTACATGTTGTGGTTAGTACATTTTCTCATTAAACTGCATAACATAAATATGTAAATACGAACATTTATATGCAATGCACACTAACTTCACAAGTAACTGAATTTGTGACAACAGAAATCAGACAAATAACTTTTCCGGCAGGGTTAAACACCCAGGTGAAGACCAGTCTAGACATAATGTAGTAGTTTAAAATGGTCTTGTTTATTGCAAGGACTGAATCAGCAGTTTTCTAGTTAGTTTTATGCCAAAATGGATGGTTGTTTAAAATGTGTTTGGCAAAATCAGTGCTTCAAACTCACACTTTTTATGTAACATTTATTCAAACAGTCCAACCATCACACAAATAAAGAGGTATTGAGTAAAATCGACTCACTCAGCAGTGTTATTCTCTGGATATTTGAACTTATATTGTGTGCAAGCAAATTTGCATCAACTCCACTTGACCCAGACATGATGGAGATCACAGAATGAGTCACCAAACCTAGAAAGATCAACGATCAGATTCACATTCAGGGATACTATGATTTTTTCTGTATGTATGACAGTAGCTATATATTTTTATTTACAAAACATAACATAGGCTAATATATTTTTTCACATATATTGTTTAAAAAAATGCTTTGTGATTTCTGTCCTCCAATAACATTCAAATGTATGCTATAGTTAATACATTCATATAATGAAGATTTTAACTGAAATGTAGAATTTTTCATAAATGTCATGCCGGGACAACCGGATACAAATTGTTTACTATTTTATCATAATGATTTTACTGTTGAATATTTTACTATAAGGCCTAATAATGTGTTAGTTCATGGTTCCCATTGTGACAACTTACCACATATAGTGTGACTACGTGCCTTGCTTTACTAACATACCAGTTATTAGTTCGATAATGATTCGAACAAAGCTAGAATAGTGTTGTTTTAGCAGGCTAACTAGTAATGTTTACGACCTCCGCACCTGCAAAACGAAAGAATGCGGAAATCACAGCGCCCAAACTTACAAACAGATTAATTTATTGTAAAATAGATAGTTTGTATATTTACTTACGCACACCAAACATACACTAACTAAGAATGGTCAGGAAAATGAAATTGTCGTATTGTTAAATAAATGTTCAGATCTGAACTGTCAAAGACTTTCACATTGAATGAACTTCAGAACAAGCGACGCTTGTTCATCTCTTCACTGACTTTTCCCCGCAAAATTACTCTTAATTAAGTCAACACACTTGCACTGTGTATAATGACATCCCTTTTACTTTGATATGAACTTTCGATATTCAGTTTACCTGGATTTCCTGAGTGAAACTCCGAGCCCTCAGCTGATTCTTGACGCCTTAGTCACGTGATTTCTGTTCAATCTTCCGCGTGCGTTCAGGAACATGTAGGCTACTACACTTTTCAGTCGCAAATATTTTGTCTTTAAATATAGGCTAACATTTAACTTAGTTAAAAATAAATTATATCTTGTTCTTGTGTGCGTGTTTTTTTGTGGGCAAAATAAGTTAGCAGATATGAAGCAGACTTTATTCATCATTAAAATTCCCAAAGACAGTTGCACCACTCTTCACACTCTAATATCAGCTAATTATAATGTCTTTTACTTTTGTGAATTGTCATTCTAAAAAAAGAGAATGAAGAAGGATGTATAAAGATTGAAGATAATTATCAAAAGGCCAAGAAAATAGCAAATTCAAACATGTTTTTGTAATGCATTTTCATATTAACACTATTCAGGAAACAAGTTTAACTTGTTAGTTGCTGTCTGCAGTATTTTTAGGCTAACAATAAGCTTCACTGACCTTTTGAACCAGGGGTACGATATTGCATATATAAATGGATTAATGCATGAATTAGTGTAAAATAAACACAGAAAAGCAGAGAAGCTCAAATATGACGTTTGAAATTGTTTGATATTAAGCATACCTATATACCAGGGAACCCAGCAAATGAAATACACAAAGACAATTGTGCTCAATGTTTTTGTTGCCTTCACCTCTGATTTCCTGGAGGATTTGAGATTTTTCTGACAGACTCTTTTCTTTGCAAATTTGGAGATGGATTTTGCTTGTCTCAAGGCCACAGAGAGAATCCTTACATACAGGGTTATTATCACTATACACGGAGCAATGAAGCTCACTATCAAGTCGGCTAAACCAAAGGCGTTGCTGACAGCCAATGCACATTCTCTAAGACAGATCACAGTTGTTCCTGTCAGGGTTAAGTGTCCAAAATTCACTGGTACAAGATTATAAAAGATGGATACAGTCCATCCTAAACTTATGAAGATCAGTGTTTTTCTCACTGTCATTTTGGACGTATACAGGAGTGGATAACACACAGCAAAATAACGATCAAGAGCCACAAGAATGATGTTGACGAGGGACACATACACAAAAAAGAATGTAATTGTATGATAGATACGACAGTGCGACTTTCCCATATAAAAACAGGAGTTAATGCTTCTAACGCTTTCAACCGGCATCACACAAATTCCCACCAAGAAGTCAGATACGGCCAGTGAGAGGATGAGGAGGTTGGTCGGTGTATGAAGCTGCTTGAAAACTGTTATAGATATGATGACAAGTAGGTTTCCACACACCGTCAGCACAGAGATTGTAGATATGTACAAGAAAAAGAATACATTGACATAATTCAAATGAAAGTCCAGAGAGCAGCTTGTATTCCAGATGGGAAAGCACTGATGCTCAATATATTCCATGGAGAAAGTCTTCTTCACTGCTTTAAACTTCAAGCCCATGTGATGCAGATCCAAAATTCTAAAGATGGTTTCACTGCCAGTTTGCTTATATAAGACAAATGACACGTGTCGTTTATGGGAGTGACCAAGAATTGTAAGCATTCATAGAGTCATGAGAGTTTAAAATTATCATATTTAACAATTATCACAAACAGTCGATTGGCCTCATTGATTTCCATAGTATTTTTCCCCCAAACTGTAAGTTAAAGGAGCATTTCACCCATTTCAACATTAATCTTTCTTGAAAGTGGATCATGAATGTAGTCGAAATGTAAAAGAATTTTTGAATTTGGTGCCTTCTTGACCGAGAAAAGTAACCGAGGGGGCACATTTGTATGTAAGACAACAACTCCCACAATGCACCACATTGCACAGCTCCGCAAGCCACACCCACTAATCCGGAACTCCGCACACATCAGAGAAATCCTTTCTTTTACTGTCTATGGAGAAATCACTCTTCCGTCTACAAGGCTAACGTTAGCTGCTGTGGTTAGCTGTCACCAGAGTTTAAAATTCATTTCACACAAAATTTCTAGTTTGTTAGCTGTGGCGAGCAGGACGATCGAGGGCGAGGGATGTAAGAGGATGGTGCGAGGCCGGTGGCGTGAGTGATAATGAAAGACACTTCTGTGAGGCGCGCGCCGGTCTCGCGTCTCTCACTGAGGAGCGAAAGCATGAAATGAGGAGCGACGACGGCAGATGGAGAGAGAAACAGGCCTGATTTTATGATGTTTTGTTTCTGTTGTGTTTAACCTTACAGCAGTCGTCAATAAGGGGCTGCTGGATTATACTTTCGTTTTGTATTTGTTCATTTTACTATTAAAATGTTTAAATGTTCGCCGGTTCCCGCCTCCTTCTTCCCACAACAACAAAACCCGTTAACATTACACTGCAAACTCATTAGTGAATTACTCCTCGTTTGTATTTATTTCTATATGGTGAATTACTGCATGATACCTGGATGTTCAGTCGGGCGAAACTAGGATGGTTCACATCACAACACAAACGTCCGTGTGCTCGTCTGATTCAGAGCTTTCGTTCGGGAGAAATTGCCATCGTTGAAATTCTCTGCAGCAGACGGACTCTATCTGAGTTCGCAGTTCACAGCGAGAGCACATGCACAGCAGTCCGCCTCAGCTCGAGCCAGTCCAGACTCCTCGAACGAGAGCACATGCACAGCAGTCCGCCTCAGCTCGAGCCAGTCAGGGCTAATCGACCGCGACAGGCAGCCGCCTCTGGTTCCTCCCTCAGTCTCAGCTGCTCTTGACTATACTGCGGCTCGTAAAGCCAGCCACGAACATCGGGTTCAAGCAGCAGAATTTTAAAATCCTTTTCTTCGATATCATGTTTAGATTCTTCCATCATTATCATACTTCCTATCTCCACAGCGCTTGTTAGCTTAGCTTTCAAACAAGATGGCGGATATTGATTCAGTATCTGCAAGTGAAGTCCCACCCACTGATCTATAATAGGCCTGTAGGGTGAATGGGTCCCACCCCCTTGAATAATAATGAGCTAATGTTTGTGTCACGGTGTGTTGTGGAGTGCAGGCAGAAGAAGACAGAAGAGGCAAATGCTCCAATTCAATTAATTTACTGAAGACTCAAAACAGGTACAGGTATACGAAGACGGGCAGGAACACTCACAAACTCAGGGTAACATCTACAACGACTGACAATGACTAACTGAACTGAAGCAAACTAAATACAGGCAAGAATCAAACATAACTATGTGAAGACAGGTGACACGGATGAACAAGACGAGGAACAGGTGGCTGATGAGGGAGTGAGTTCAGGTATGGAGACAAGAGGATCCTGGGATGTGTAGTGCAGATGACAAAGACAGACTGGTGCAGATGAAGGACTGTGACATCACTCCGTGACCTCATGCCGTAACATCAATGGGGTGGGCGCCCTGGAGGCTGTGGAGGGCGTGGTCTGGAGGAGGAAGCCTCCAGGGCGGAGCAGGTTGAGGGCGTGACCAGGGTGGAGCAGGCTGAGGGCTTGGCGGAACAGGCTGAGGGCGTGGCCAAGGTGACCCCTGGTGGAGCCGATGGAGGAGGGAGCCGAGACGGAGGCGGTGGTGACGACACCAGGGGGCTGACTGACAGAGGCGGAGCAAGTGGGAGAGGAGACCAGGGTGAAGCTGTAGGGCCGACGAGACAGGGTGATGATGAGGGACTGGAGGAACATGGTGATACTGTAGGCTCAGGTGACGGAAGAGACGACAGGGACACAAAAGGACACGGTGAGGACAGAGGGAGTGAGGACCGACGGAGAACTGAGGGGAGTGAGGACTCCAACGGAACCGGGGGGTGAAATGACGAGGCGAAGCCGGAGGATGGAAGTCCAGAGGTGAGGGAAGGACGACGAGGGACCAATGAGAATCCGGGGGGACGAGGAAGCCTGGCGGAACTGGTGGACTGAGGGGCCATGGTGGAGCTGAGGGAGGTAGGAGCCATGGGGGAGCAGATGGGATGAGGGGCCGAAGAAGTGTCCAGGGAGAGGAGGTTGGAGGAAGAGACCGGGGATCCACCGACCAGGCTGGGTCAGGAGGGCTGGAAGACAGAAGGGCTGACAGGTCACAGATGAGAGGCGGCGGGAGAGGGAGGCTGGGTAGGATCCTGGTCTCAGGCTCTGGCTGGACTGTCTCGGGCTGGACTGTCTCGGGCTGGACTTCTCCGGCTGGACTTCTCCGGCTGGACTGTCTCCGGCTGGACTTCTCCGGCTGGACTGTCTCCGGCTGGACTTCTCCGCCTGGACTGTCTCCGGCTGGACTGTCTCCGGCTGGACTGTTTCCGGCTGGACTGTCTCCGGCTGGACTTCTCCGGCTGGACTGTCTCGGGCTGGACTTCTCCGCCTGGACTGTCTCCGGCTGGACTGTCTCCGGCTGGACTGTCTCCGGCTGGACTGTCTCCGGCTGGACTGTCTCCGGCTGGACTGTCTCTGGCTGGACTTCTCCGCCTGGACTGTCTCCGGCTGGACTGTCTCCGGCTGGACTGTCTCCGGCTGGACTGTCTCCGGCTGGACTTCTCCGGCTGGACTGTCTCGGGCTGGACTGTCTCGGGCTGGACTGTCTCGGGCTGGACTGTCTCGGGCTGGACTTGTCCGGCTGGACTGTCTCCGGCTGGACTGTCTCCGGCTGGACTTCTCCGGCTGGACTTCTCCGGCTGGACTTCTCCGGCTGGACTGTCTCCGGCTGGACTGTCTCCGGCTGGACGAGACTCTGGACGGGCTGTTTCGGCGGTACGAGACTCCGGCGCTGGCTGGACGGTCTCTGGCGCTGGCTGGATGGTCTCGACGGGGCTGGACGGAACCAGCGATGAGGAGGGCTCAGGTTCGGCGGGGCTGGACGGAACCAGCGGTGAGGAGGGCTCGGGCGTTGGAGTGGGGCTGGTGACGTCATCGACGGTGAAGAATGATCCACAGGATACCAGCACCCACTCCACATAGGCCGCAAAGTTCTCTCGAGGCCCCTCTCCGGGCAGGCGTGCTTTGGTTTCAGCGTTTAGGCCTGCCCGGAAGAACACACAGAGGCTGGTATCATCGTAATGTACAAGAGGTACCAGGTCTAAATACCTCTGTGTGTGGGCCTTGAGGGATAGATCCTCCTGGTCCAGGAGAAGGATTTGTACTGCTGCAAAATCCATAATTTTTGTGGGTCGGTCGTTCTGTCACGGTGTGTTGTGGAGTGCAGGCAGAAGAAGACAGAAGAGGCAAATACTCCAATTCAATTAATTTACTGAACACTCAAAACAGGTACAGGTATACGAAGACGGGCAGGAACACTCACAAACTCAGGGTAACATCTACAACGACCGACAATGACTAACTGAACTGAAGCAAACGAAATACAGGCAAGAATCAAACATAACTATGTGAAGACAGGTGATACGGATGAACAAGACGAGGAACAGGTGGCTGATGAGGGAGTGAGTTCAGGTATGGAGACAAGAGGGTCCTGGGACGTGTAGTGCAGATGACAAAGACAGACTGGTGCAGATGAAGGACTGTGCAGTTTGTAGTCTTTACACATTTTAATGAAATATGACTTCATGCTTATTATGACGCAAAATGACGATTTTTACGTCATAATAAGCAGGAAGTAAAACACTTAAATCCTTATTTCTCCCATCTCAGGGGAAAATAAGGGAATAAACCATGACCATTCAGAAATATGACTGGGTTTCTAAACATACAAAGCAAATGGGTGAAGTGTCCCTTTAATAAGACTTATCATCTGTTGGTAACCAGACTGATCTCATGAAGTAGCGTGTGTATGAGACGCCAATTCGTATTTCCATTTTTGGCGTGCTATCAAGACGCATAATCGCCTTTCAGCGTGTTTATGAACGCCGTTGACTTAACGTTATATAAATATATGACTTACCTCAACCTCGTCCCTAAACCTAACCGTCACTGGGGTTAATGGCATTTATAACTGTTCCCTTACCATCCTAGGTAAAAAAAAGATATGACTTACCTCAACCCCATCCCTAAACTTAACCGTCACTGGGGTTAATGGCATTTATGACTGGAGATTTGACTGCGTGTTCAGACACGCGGAATGACGCGGACGTTAATGGCGTAGACATATACGCATACACGCGGATACACGCGGATAGCACAAAATGCGTGGAGATAACACGCCACCTGACTCGAAAGTGGCGTATATGTTTACGCAAAAGTCATGATGTCATGTTGTGGTAACCCATTTTTTAAACCCATTTTATCCCATACCTACAGGGGACGCAGTTTACGAGTGATTATAATCATCATTTAAAATCCTGATGCGGTTCAAAAACAATGAAAACAATTGATACTTACAAGTCACACAGGGCGCAGCCATCTTGAATTCTGAAACGGAATTCTTGCTCGGTGTCCTCACGGTTGTCCGACGTCCGAAAGGAGAAATCCGAGGAAAGGGGTGTGTTGCTAGGCAACGTCTGTCTTCCAATTTGG